GTTCATATGAGTTCAAAATATTGATATGGATAAAAAATTATGAAGTTTGACTGTAAGTTGGCCACGGTTGACTTTTTCACCAATATAGCTGATTTTAGGTCATTTGTTCAATTGACTGGGCAAACTTGAACTGCAAGACTTGAAATTTGACATGAGCATTCTTTAAGGTCCAAAATGATCCATGAAAGTAATATGGGGCATTTAAAGTCCATTTGTCCTTATACAAACTCAAACCCTAATTTGAGCCATCGGTGTTGAGGAAGTGTCTTGAGCTGATCAGTCCTTGTGCAATTTTGAGCAATTGAAGATCTTGTGAGAAATTTATTGAGAAATGAGAGGAAAAATTTTGGGGTACAACAATTACCTAAATACTTTTGAATCTGCATAAAACTAAGTCAACCACACTATATCAAATCAACACAAAGGGTGACTTACAACCCAAGAAAGTATACGACTTTCAAAACCAAAAACCCTTATTGAACTTCTAACTTTGATACACTTGGTTTAGTTGATTTTCCCTAGAACTAAGTCTTCCTTTTATAATCTTCAAGAAACTGGATTTGGGCTTCAGAACAACAACTGATCTATTGCAGAAAATCAACAAAAACTTCTCCATGAAGATAGTGCTTCAATCATAACCTTCATAATTTATCTCCATAATTAGAAAGTCATATATCTCCTTGAAATCAGCTTGAATATTCTTCAATCTTCAAAGTGAGCGCCACATAGGATAACATAATATTCCAGAATATTCTTCACATGAAATATATCAATTAAATCCAACTATCCAATTGGTCACATATGCAGTGTCGAGTGGCTCTTCATAGGGCATCTTCATTCGAAATGTCTCTCTGATGATGAAACATATTAGTTCAACAATTATGAGTTTTTCAACTTGAGCACAACATATGGTTACCAAATATTTCCAGAAAGATCCATATTTGTAACCCACTCACAAAATCTAAGCATCCAGTTATATCAGACAAGAAGTTAGATGATCATAGTGAGACTTCTTGTTCAACATCCAGTTTTACCAAAATTAGTCAAACCTCTAGAGCTCAAATCTTTGGAGTTTTCAGTTACCTGAACAGAGAACACGATTGTCTTCCTCGGTCGAGCATAACTGCTCGCGAAGGACGATGTCGACATAACACTCGTGGTTCGATGACGGCGACACGGATCTTCTCGTGAGCAATGTCTAGGAGTTGCTAACCTAGGTTGGCGAGCGCGACAGAAATTGGACCTTATCTTCGATTTACGAGCTGACTCCAAGCCACTACCTCCTTGCCGCATGAGTTTCCCTATAAGTCATAACTCCTACTTAGGAGTAATGACTTGAGGGGGCTCGTATTCTGGACTGGGTCTACGTTTGGCCCACTTAAGAGCATGACCCTGTCCGACGCTTTCTCGAAGAGGCCCAACGATATGGCTCAACTCATAACTGTTGGGGAATGTTTCCTCCATGTGCCTCCATGAGCACATGGTCAATTTCCCTCTGATTGTCACGAGACCTCTTGCCCTCTGAAGAATTAGTCCTTCAATATCCGAAGAAGGCGGGACAATTGAACCAGGATTAGGGATGACGATTGGGCGGTTCGAGGAGTGTTTAAGCACACCCAAACCGGCACCTTCCACCCAGACCCAGGCCCGGCCCACCCTCAAATCCAGTTCGTGCTAATAGTTTTTCCCCGACCCCCTCCCCAACAAGAAACAAGTTACCCCGACCCCCCCTCTCCAACAAGAAACGAGTTTCCCCGCACCCGCCCCACACTTGTCCGAATAAAATTTTAATTTTTTTTAATTTATACTTTTTCCAATAAAAATAAAAATCAATAATTAAACTAAATAATTGATACTTTTAAAAGCATTTTTATGTTTGATATTTTTATTTAAATTGTATTTAAAAAAATAATAATTCTAATAAATATGATATTATAATATTAAAAAGTGTAAATTAGTAAGAAAACTATTAAAAATAAATGAAATAAATTAAATTTAGTTGGCGGGTGGGGGTGCATGGCAGATACTAGCATCACCCGCCCTACACCCGTAAATAAAAATCGGGTTTTCTCCGCACTCGCATTCTCTCCGTCCCCGATAAACTAGGTTTTTCCTGCTAATTTCGGGGCGGAGGTGGCCGGGGCCCGACGGAGGCGAGTTTATTTGCCATGCCTAACCAGGATCGTGGGTACGCGCTGCTCCACTTCACATGCGTGAATCTTGGGAGCCATTCGTTATGGGCCTGGATCTTTAACCTATAATGAAGGCCTTGATCCAACGCTGAAGGCTATAAATATGCTCGGCCCTGTGCAGGAGCAATAAGCTCTACAACACAGGACCTCATATTTTATAGACCCAAAATTTTAAAAAGTTTAATTTCTTTTTTACATTAATATTAATAAAAATAAAAATATGTTATAAAAAAATTCAATAAATCAAAAAAATACTATGATAGAAATCCAATATATTAAAAAAAATGAGATTGATCAAAGTCAAAACAATTATAATTAAATCTTTTTTATTAATTTATAATTATATTTTTTTATATGTCATTTTTAATTTATTCTAATTATATTTCTTTTTATATATTCAGGCCCATTTGTAAAATTAGAACGTAGTCTCCAATTTAATTGGAACAGTTCTGACTATAAATACTCTCTTTTCACTAGATGATCAAATATATTATTCTACACTTTTTTAATATTTACATTTATTCTGAACCTTATTTTGACACTAACATATTTTGTTATACTTTTTATTTTACTTTTAACGGCGATTCAGTTCAATTTTATAGACCATCGACAATTCATTCTGATCAGACACAATAAAAAAAAAAGTTTACTTGTTTTAATGGATTTACATGCATATGCCCCCAAAATTTTCTTTTAATGAGCATGAAGGAAATGGGCTGTACTATTGCTTTAACAGCAAAAGGTTAATGGTTGCATGTGCCCCATAAGGTTGGTAAACCATGAGAGCCAAAACCTATGTGCCCCACATGTATTTTGGAGATTTTCCCGCTCCCATGCTACAGAACTGAACCACACATTTCCTGCCACAAAAACAGCTTTTATGCAACACAAACCGCTCTAAATCACGTTTCAATTTAATTCAAACCTATAAACCTCATGTTTGACTCAATACCTTTTAATGCTCACACAATTAATATACTAACATTTACTCCACCTTTATTTTCTTCCTAAAATACATTCAAACTAATACTCGTAGTTTCATCTTTTAACAATTTTTTTTATAAAACAAAATTTCTCATCCAAAAGCATTTTGATAAAATAATTAAGATTTTTTTTTTAATTTAACTAAATATTTTTACTTAAAATTTATTTTTTAAAATTTAATGATATTATTTTGGCAAAATCACAATAGAGATCCTTTAATTTAAATTATTTTTGTGTAATATGTTAATCATTTAAGTTGTTTTTAATAATTTAGTTTTTTAAGTTCTCAAACATGCTTTGTTATTACTTTTTTAACATATTGAATGTGTTAATTATAAATACAATTATTTTAAATGGTATGAAAATAATAAAGTATAACAAAATAAATATAACATTTTAAATTTCTAAGTGTTCAAAATGTGAGAAAAAATACGTAGAAATCAATTTAAAAAACTAAATTGTTAAATTTTTTTTTAATAATTAATCTATTAAAAAAATAACTTAAATAATTTTGTTATATTTTTTAATGGAATGTTTTATCGTGTTTAATCATTTAAAAAAGAGTTCTATTACTCATTGTAATTATCATCAATTTGAGTTATTAATATTTATATTATATTTTTCATCAACTTGAATGATTAATGATTATAGTTGAAAGCTAAAAATGTAATTTATATGTGTTTAGTGTACGATTTGAATCGATTTTGATAAAAAAATATATCTTATCTAAAAATAAATTTATTTTGAATTCACTTCAATTTTAGATTATAGGTTAAAAAAACTCAAATCCATCTGATTCAATTCAACTTTTTGCAAATTAATTTATATATCTAAATTACAAATTATATATTTTATTAGTATTATAAAAATATTAAAATAATAACATATTAAAAGTTATTTTCTCCGTTCTTTTTTAATTATTATTTTTTAATTTTTTACACATATTAATATAATTAATAATTGTTATTATTTTTTAAATAATAACTTTTTTCTATAATATCTTTAGTCTTTTAATAATTTATTTAACTTTTTTTTCTCTATAATACTAATAATGAAAAGTAATTTTGACATAATGTGACACTTATAAAGAAATAATTTTTTTTCTAAAAAATAACACTTAAAAAGAAATAATATTATAAAAAAGTTAATTATAATTAAAATAAATGAAATAATAAAAATAAATAGATTAAACAAAACTATTTCCTCCGTAACAAATTATAAGAAAATTTAATTTTTTTTTGATACATTTGACAATTAATATACGTAGTCTATATATGGACTACGTTAATTATCGAATTTATTAAAAAAATTAAATTTATAATAATTTATTACGGAGGCAGTATAATAATATCGGGTATGAAAAAATATGTTAAAAATATATACAATCAACAAATGAGTATCCAATATTATTTTGATTTTTGGTGTGAATTTTAATCTGAATGAGTTTAGATCTGAACACCTCATAATGTAGATGATATAAAAAAACAAAAATACATTTTTGAAAATATAGTTAGTTATTCTTTTATGAAACGAGAAATAGTTGAAACAGTTGAAAAAAGTTAGTTAAAATTGTGAGTGTGGTCCCATCCCATGCTATGTTCCCCAAACCCTTCAACCTCAAGCTCTATAAATTAAGGGTCGCTCCCACCAACTCTCTTCACTCACTCATCAAACTAATTGCCTTCTACTCCTTCCATTGACTATCTAAGTAATTTTCTCGGATTACTAAAGTTAACATCCTTAACTAAATTCATGTTCTTAAATGCTATGTTACAAACAAATGTCTCATTGTTTTGTTTTTGTTACATGTTCAGGAAACAAGAAATGAATTTCATTGGATTGCTTTTGGTGTGTTCCCTCACTATGTTCTCATCTGTTTCTGCCTATGCTGAAGGATGGACCAATGCTCATGCCACCTTCTATGGAGGGAGTGATGCTTCAGGAACAATGGGTATGCACCATTCTTCAAATTAAACCACCCCATGAAAAAAAGTTTTGATTTTTATGTTTGTTTTTGGGATAAAAATCAGATCTTGAAGTAACAAAGAGTAACCCATTTAGCTGATTTTGTTGTTTGTTGCTTATTTTGTAGGTGGGGCTTGTGGTTATGGTAACCTTTACAGTCAAGGCTATGGAACAAACACTGCTGCTTTGAGCACAGCACTTTTCAACAACGGTTTAAGCTGTGGCTCTTGCTATGAAATTAGATGTGCTGGTGACCATAAATGGTGCCTTCCTGGTTCCATTGTGGTCACTGCTACCAACTTCTGTCCACCAAACAATGCCTTACCAAATAATGCAGGTGGTTGGTGTAACCCTCCTCTCCAGCATTTCGATCTTGCTCAACCTGTTTTTCTTCATATCGCTCAATACAAAGCTGGAATTGTTCCTGTATCTTACAGAAGGTAGGTTACTGTTCCTCTCTTATATTGTCCACATTTTTCTACTTTTCTGTGTGTTTACTCTGGTGGTTTTCTTTGTGTAGGGTATCCTGTAGGAGAAAGGGAGGTATAAGGTTCACTATCAATGGACACTCTTACTTCAACCTTGTTCTTATCACAAACGTTGGAGGTGCTGGTGATGTGCATGCTGCTTTCATCAAAGGGTCAAAAACTGGTTGGATTTCCATGTCAAGAAACTGGGGACAGAATTGGCAGAGCAACAATTATCTTAATGGTCAAAGCTTGTCTTTTAAGGTTACTACAAGTGATGGTCGTACTGTTGTCTCCAATAATATTGCTCCAGCTGGATGGTCTTTTGGTCAAACATACACTGGTGCTCAAATCCACTAGAGTATGGACTTGCTGAAGTTTCAAATTTAGGAATACCATCTATACGTGTTAGTTTAGTACCATTCAATAGTATACTAGGTTATTAGATAGTATGCTGTTTGGTAAGAGGGGTTTGGTTTTGGGAGATTTAGAGGCTAGTGAAGGGCATATATTATCATGGTCCTTCATTTTAGACCTCTCTTGGTTAGTGTGGTGTTTTACTTTTTTGTGCTTTTGAGAAGGTTTTTTACCATTCTGTTAAGAAGTAGTTGAAGTTAGCAGAAGGGGATATTTTAACATTTTGTGAGTTAGTAAGTACTACTAAATTAGAGGAGGTGGACTATGAATCTATGATACTACCACCCACTTTATTTAGTGTTGAAATGTTTGTTTTTAATATTGAGTATGTCATTGGTGTGTATTAGAGAGTGAAAGTATAAAGTTTCTTATTAATGATCATTGAAGTAATTTATTACTATTAGGAGTTGGGCTACACATGAAGATGGAGTGCAATTTTGGGCACATATTTTGGATCTGGTAGTATTTTGGGATCAAATTATAGGCCTAGTCGGTTCATGTGTTCTTCCAAGTTTCTCTAGTCAACCCTTTAAGACAATCTATGACAATTGATAAGTAAAGACACACTTTGAAAAGATTGATATATTTAGACTCCAGAGAGGTTATAACACACTAATCATGTCCTGTGTTACAATGCACGGAGACAAGAAAGCATTAACAATTAGAGTAAAATTCTGATCTAATTAGTTAGAAGTTAGGACTCAAGTTTTCTGATCTAATTAAACAATTAGAGTAAAATTCTGGTAAGATAAAAGTTAAGTTTGTATAGCACTTAACACTCACAATGTGCTGCACCATGGACAGTTAAAGTAGCACGCTTTAGTTACAAGGATATAAATTACTCTATTCGTAACTAATTATAAATAAATTTGTTTATTTAGTATATTTGAAATTAATATATATAGTTCTTATATAAATTACATAAATTAATTATCAAAAAAACTAAAAAAGTCAAATTTAGGGAGTATGGATTTTAAACTAGCACGCTTTATTTACAAGAGATATAACTACTGAAATAAATAAATTTCATAAACACCTACTAGTACTAGTACTTTGTTTGGGATTAAAACTAATCCAAACCATTACTTTGAAACAAACAGAAAACCAGAGCCTACTTTAAAAAATCATTCCCAATTTACAAAACCGCTTGCTATAAACAGCTTGATGATAAAAGGATAAGGAGATGATTTGTACGGTTTGGTAGTGAGGAAAATCTAAGAGAGCCAGAGCAAGAAAATGGAGAGAAAGATAATGAACAATTTAATTGAGATAGTTTCACTATGCTGGTGCCTTAATAGATTCACACTACAATAAAAAACAAAGAATGTTTTATTTAGCGACATAAATGATTAAACCCATTAAAGGAAGAAGAAATAAATTAGTGTCAATTTACATCATGATCTAACTTCTTAAATGTTCTCCTTAGTGCCTAAACTCGGAAATAGAAAATGTTCATTCATAACAATTTTATTAACCAATGGTGGATGTCAGGTCTCAGCCTAAAGGTTCTTTTGTCAGATTTGATGATGGATTCAAAGGTGAAATCAAGGGAGTTATAAAATTGCTATGTGACGGCTCTTCTAATCTAGAATATGTTCTTCTTGTAGAAATACTAATTACTAACCTTTTCATCATTAGTCAGTTGTGTGATCAAGGATTGTTAGTTAATTTCTCAAAGTCAAAATGTTTAGTCAAAGATGATAAATATGATGTTCGAATGAAGGGTACAAGGTCTAAAGACAACTGTTATCTTTGGAAACCTCAAATAACTGCTTACTCTTCAATATGTTTAATAACTAAGGAGGATGAATTGAAGCTATGGCACAAGAAGCTTGGACACCTTCATCTTAAAAGAATGAAGAAAATCAAATGTGAAGGAGCTATTAAAGGAATGCCAGAATACAAGGTTGAGGAAATGAAAGTCTATGGTGAGTGTGAGATTAAGAAGCAAACTAAGATGTCATACCCAATGTTGCAACATCAAACTACTTCCAAAGTACTAAAACTTCTTCACATGGATTTAATGAGTTCAATGCAGGTAGAAAGCTTGGGTGGAAAAAGTATGTATATGTGGTTATAGATGAATTTTCAGGGTTTACTTGGGTGAACTTTCTTAGAGAAAAATCATACACGCTTGAAGTCTTCAAAGATCTGTGTCAAAGTATTCAAGAGGAGAAGAATAATATCATTGTCCAGATTATAAGTGATCATGACAAGGAGTTTGAGAATGCTGAATTCTCTGAATTTTGTGCTTCTGAGGATATTAGTCATGCATTTTCTTTTTCCATCACTTCTAAGCAAGATGGAATTATTGAAAAAAAGACTAGGACTATACAAGAATCAACTAGAGTCATGCTTCATGCTAAGTAATTGCCTTGCAATTTTGGTCTGAAGCTATGAATACTGCATATTATATTCATAATAGGGTCACTTTGAGGGCAGGCACTTCAACCACTCTCTATGAGTTATAGAAAGGAAGAAGCCTACAGTCAAATACTTTCATATCTTTGGAAGTAAATGCTATGTTTTGACTAACAAAGATCAAAAGAATAAGATGGATCCCATAATGATGAATGGATATTTCTGGGTTACACTTCAAACAACAGGGTTTATAGAGTTTTTAACTCCAGAACTGAAGTTACAATGGAATCCACAAGTGTGGTGATTGATGATTCAATCACTGAAAAAGAGATAGATGTCAAAGACAATGTTGGAACATCTTTTGTGCAGAATGAGGAGTCAAGAAAAGAAGTAATTTGTGAGTTCAAAAGCATTGCATTAGTTAGTTCTCAAGTCAACAAAGGTTTCTCTTTGAGAGAATTCAAATAGAACATTTCAAGGAAGTCATAACAGGACACATTGAGGAAGTGGACACCATTGGAACCAATGAAGAAATATCAAATTCATTTTTTGTCTCTAAACTTGAACTTAAGATGAGCCCTATCATCAAGAGAAGAAAATCTTGAAATGTATCATTGGTACAAGGTTCTATGGTGTGATATATTATGACAACACAAATTTCATGATAAAAGAATTATGTAATGAAAATTACATAAAAGTAATTTCTAATGGATGTTTCTCTTTGAGAAACAGTCTGATTTCTCGTTTCAATAAGAAGAAAATATGTATTTCTTGGTGTACTGCTGAAGCTGAATATGGTTAAACAAGAAGTAAATGCTCTCAACTAGTGTGGATTGAAATATTGAAGGAATATAATGTCAAGAAGGATGTCATGACATTACATTGTGATGATCTGAATTCTACCAAATATCTCATTCAACAAATTTGGAACAAGAACTTTGACAGTCATAATAACATATCAGAAATCTTGTTAAAGGAAAGGTTGTTACTTTGGAGCATGTGGACACCAAAGAACAACTGACCGTTTGATTTATTAACGCCTTATAAGCAAACCAAGTTGAGAACATAAGCAGTGAGCTAGGAACTTGCACTATTAAGGAGTTATAACAATTACATGTATGTAGGAATACATCGAATACTCTGTCTTTCCTCTATGTTCTCAGGCATGATATGCCTAAGTTAATTGCTAGTTTTAAACCAGTAAAAGTATGAAACAAACGATCTTTGCAAGGACAAGAGGCCGATTTGAAGGAGACATGTTTTAAGGTGGTGGCAAGGGAGTTCGATGTCAACAATTCTAAAACATGTGACAGTAGAAAGGGGGGCAAAAGATTTTTTGACAGAGGGTAAAAGGTGGAAGACCACCTGAAGATGATCAAGAAATTTGTGATTCCAATTTGTGTGTTTCCAACTTTTCTTTTGTGTTCCATCTGTTGATCTTGCTTGTTTGCATGTGTATTTCCAATTTTTATTGTATATTATTTACTCTATTTTTGTCAATTTTTGGCTAAAATGGGGGAGTAAAGTGTTAGTGTGTTAGCTTTGGAAGTTTGTTTTTGTCCTGATGTTGATGTCACGTCAAATGTCTTGACATACTGATTAACATTGTGATAGAACTGTACTACTGCTTAGGGAGAGTAGTCGTTGTTGTTGCCTGCTATCCGTGCAACTATTTAGGGGGAGCATGAGTGTCTATTATGCTTATTGTTGGGGCTTAGAGGAATTGCTTCTGCTACTACTGCTGATGTGTGCATGATGTCATACCAGATGTCCTGACATCTTTGCTTAGGGAAATTGCTTTTGCTGCTGTTGCTACTGTGTGCATGATGTTATCACAAATGTCCTGACATCTTGCCTGAAGTGTTTTGTGGAGAACTTTGGCTCTCTAGTTGTTTTAGTTTTTGGTTGTGAGGCTTATTTTTTTCTTTTCTTCTGCAACATGTTCCTCTGATGTGTGAACTTGAACATATTATATTTGATTGTTTGTATGTTCTCTAGAGGGGGAGTATTGATTATGTATGACATGGGGAGTAAAAAAACTGCCTGAAGTTGCTAAGCACTATGCTATGGTACTGAGTTTTTTATGATGTGTTGGAGTTTTTTTGGATATGTTGACATGATGTCAGACCACATGTCCTGACATCTGATCTCTTGATATTTTTGGTTTTAGAAGAAGAGTTATGTGTGAGGTTGGGTCTCTTTGTAGTTGCATTTATCTCTAATGTTTTTTGTTTTCAGTTTCTACAAAGTTTACATGTTTTTCATGTAGTTTGGGTTTTGTTCTTTGTGGTTTTATTCTTTGTGGTTTTATTCTTTATCTCCATATTTATTGTGAAAAGGTTGTTTTAGCCAAAATTTTCCAAAGGGGAAGATTGTTAGGTCTGTGTTTTTATAATTGGCAACAATTTTGGTAAAACATGTTTCATTTGGAAAAACATGTATCACAACCAAATGCTGGACAAGATATTGTGACATCTTGAACAACTATCATAGCAGGTGTTGCTGCCACCAGACGTTGAGCAAGATGTTCTGACATCCTTGCCAACTGATATAGCAGATTCTATTGTTACTCTCTTAATATA